AAAAATTTTATTTATTATTATTATATTTAGAATTATTAAAAATATTGTTAAATAATTTTAAATATTTTGAATTATTTTGAATTATTTTAATTGTTTTGCAATACTTTAAATAGTTTCAAATATTTTCAAAATTCAATTTTTACTAAATTTTATAGCTTTTAGAGAAATTTAAATTATTATTGTAAAGTATCTTAACTACCAAGATTAAGAATGCTATGTTTGCTGTATTTGGAAATCTCTTATCATCTATTAATAATAAAGCAAAATCTAAGATCATTTTTAAGTAAAACTGATTTAAAGAAACTAAAACTTGTTATAAGCAATTTTTTAAGAATTTTTTTGAAAACTTAAAAGATACTTATATATTGTTATATTAAACAAGATTTGGTCCTTTGTTATACAGCTCTAGAAAAGTTGCATATGCTATAGCAGTTTGCCAAACTATGCTTGATCCAATGCAAAATAGTTTGATAATTTCTAAAAGCATTATAAAACACAAACTTTTAAAATATTTAGTATGTATTTATTATATTATTATAAAATTTTTACTTATATAATCAAAAATTTTTTTATATATTAGAAAAAGTTAAAAAATAATAATAAATTTTAACACCAAATATAAAGAATAATATATCAAGTTCTAAAGAAAATAAAACTTCAAAAAACTTTAAAGAAGTATAATTTTATATTTTATATTTAAAATTAATTTAAAATATTTTAAATATTTGCACATATTTGTGCATAATTTTGAATATTTTAATAATTTGTTCTTTTTTTTATAATTTTCAAAATATAACAAATATATAATAAAATATTAAAACTTGGTGTTTTTATATTAGTTTTTTAAATATTCTAAAAAATATTTTTTATCAATTATTAATTTATTAAATATTTTTTTATTTTATCTTTCTAAATATTTTTAGAATACTCAGGCTAGCTGCAATAAATAAAAAAATATTTCACAAAAATCTGAAATAGTTTGTATTATTTTAAAATATTTTCTTTATTATTAATATTAATTACAATTAACAAATTTTATTAGACAAATAAAAGGCTAAGAGGAGCTATAATCATTAAATTACATCTTATGTATAGTTTTAATTTGCAGTATTTTAAGAATATTTCTATAATTCTTAAAATTTTTAAATATTTTCATGTATTTTTGCTTATTTTAAAATATTTTCACAATTATTCATATATTTTTAAAATAATTCACTTATATTATTAATATTTAATTTAGATTTATCTGATAAAAATTAAGATACTGAAAAAGAATTATAAAACTTTTTTTTTGTTTTTATTATTTTTTAATAAAATAATCTTTCTTTTTTTTAGCTAAATTTGTATAAAATGAAATACAGAATTTAATATTTAAATAAATTTTTTTTAATTTTTGTTTTATTACTAATACATTTTTTTATGTTTTTAGATTATTTAAAATATTTTGAATATCATTGAAAGTTTTACCAATTTGTAAATTTTTATATAGATATTTCTTTTTTTTTATCTTTATTTATTTTTTATTTGTATTTGATATATAAATCAATTAAATAAAGTTGATATAGATTAAAAATAATTATATTAGCTTAGTTAATGATCAAATAAAAAATTATATTAAATATATTAAAATATGTAAATAGCAATATTTTAAATAAAATAAAATAAATTTATCAATAAAATTATTTTATAATTTTCAAAATATTTCAAAATTATTTTAAAAATTTTTAATTATTTTAAAAATCTTTTAATTATTTTAAAATATTTTAAAATTATTTTGATATTTTTAAAATATATCGAATTTTTTTAAATATTTTAAATTATTTTCAAAATATGGTTTTATTTTTTTTTAGTTTTATTAATTTTTAAATTTTTGTCAAATAACTAAAATTCTTTTGAAATTATTTTATTTCTTTTACAATATTGTGAAATTATTTTATTTTGAAATAATTTTACATTAATCATAGTTATTTCAAAAGATTTTTGATATGCAAAATTTTTCACAATATTTCGCATATTTATTCTGCTAATATAGTTTTCTTAATCTTCTGTTTTTGTTTAATTATATAAATAGAAAGTTGCTAATTGTTCTTTGCTTTTAATCTTTGTCTTGTTATTTTTCTTTATCATGTGTTTAATCTATATTTTTGCTATTATTATTTTATGATTTCTTTCTGTAATTTCTTAATGTTTGACTTTTGCAAACTCAAAGCCAGTTCTTCTGATATCTATATATAGTCAATTCTTGTTGCTGCTTCTTTATTTAACTATATGTATTTTTGGCTTGTTGGATGCATGTTTCTATAAGTATTTATAAAGTTTTGTTTTCTTATTCAATTAATAATTAATAGTTTTTTAAAACTTGCTAGTTGTAATTGTTGTCTGTTTAGTATATTGTTTGTTGTATAATTAAATTTTCCTATAATTACAACTTGTGTTTGTTTTTTTCATTTAGCAACTGTTTTTACAATTTTTTGTTGAATACTTCTTTCTATAGTCTTGTTATTTGATAGTATATAAATCTCTATCACTACTAGTTCTAATTGTTTAAAGTATAGCATAATTTCTATTATGTATTTGCTTATTTTTTTAACTGCATTTACATGGTTTTCTTATTATTTTTCTATCAAAATTTTTATGTCTGATCTTTTTTTTTTGTCTTCTGCTACATTTGTTCAGTATTCTATATATTTTTTGTTTGCAGCATATATTAAAAATCTTTTTTTTTTCTGTAAAATTTGTTTCTGTAATTCTCAATATTGTAATTTCTTCTTCTTCTGCTTAGCTAAGCAGATTTTTCAATTTTTAACCTTTGGTTTAAGTCTATTAATATTGTAATATACTATTTTTTTTTATTTTTTTTTCTTTATACTCTTTCTTTAATGATCTTTGTCTTGTTTCTATATCACCTAATTTCTTTTTATTCTTATTACTCTTTTCTTCTTTTTAACAAGAAGTCTCTAGTTTTTTTCTTTCTTTAAACACTTTTTTTTCTTCTTGCAAGAAATTTCTGATCTTCTTGTCTATGTTTATTGGTTCTACTGTAGCATTATTAGAAGCAATTGGCCTAGGCCTTTTCTGTCTTCTTTTTTATTTTGTTTTGTTATAATTCTAATTTTTCTAGTCTTTTAAGTATCTTTTCTAATAGGTCTTGGAGGTAGGTGTATAACCTTCTTGTGCAATATAAAAGTACCAAATCAGGTTTTGGTCGTACCTAGTATGGCATCACTAGGGTCAGTGTAACTCCTTGGGCATAATCAGAATTGTCCTGCAGGTATTGTCGAATAAGCTAGGAGCTTGCAATACATAGTAGTATAGTATCACTAAGGTCAAAGGAACTCCCTAGATATAATCAGAATTGTTCTGTTTGTAAGTACAACAAGTTTCAGTCTCTATCATAAAAGAAAGCACTATGTTGGAGGTTAAATGCAGTATTGAGTTACTGTATGATGTTAAGACCTGAGGCATTTGCAGGAATGGCAGCAGCAGACCTGGCTTGAGATACGGATTGGTCAAAAGACTAATGGTGGCAGCAGATCTGGCTTGAGATACAGGTTCTTTGCAGATCCTAAACCATTATCAGAACACCTTAGAGGAATTAATAACAGGCATACCAAAGATGGAAAGATCATAAGATCAAACATATCTGAGTAGGACCAATTTGGAAGTAGTACAGTAACAAAAAAATGAGAAATATGGGAAACAAGGTAATACTAAATATAGTTAGATTAAGAGACAAAAGAAACAAGACTAGATAAAACATGTAAGTAGGACATATGCATACAATTTACAGAAGACAGTACCTCTGGCATTTGGGATACCATATTAAGTTTGGTAGGTATTCTTGTCTATGTAGCAGTTTAATAGTATGTCCTGATTGCAAGTAGTTGTTAAGATAACTGCATGCAGGCATGCGGTAGACATGCACTTAGGTGCCATATGGGTAACCAGGTGAAGTCAGTAATGTATAATTAGATAGTATATAGTACTAGTAATAATAAATCCTAAAAATGTAATCTTAAATTTGTACTATATCAAATTAAAGCTAATAAACCAACTGGCATTGTTGCCAAAGTTCAAAAAAAAAAAAAAAAAAAAGCCAAGTTATGTGATAAGATAATCAATAATTTCATTAAGGATTTTTATTATATGCGTAATAGTTATAGTTAGTGTCAGTTTAAATCAAGATATAATAAAATGCTTAAAAAATATGAAAAATGCTAATCTTATCTTAAAAAAAAACTGTACTCAAGTTGTAAAACATGGGCAAGATACTCTATAGAAAAGGTATTTATAACAGAAGTTGAATCAACTTAATGTGTTGAAGGTATAAATAGAGTTCTTAAAAAGCATTTGGATCAGAACACTTTATTAAAGGAATTAGTAAAAATAATCAAAGATAAACTTAATAAGGAAGCACAATATAGTTAAATTAGAAATTATTATGGATCAAATCCATTAGTCAGTCTTTTATCTATCTATAATACTATCTTTAAAGACATAAATTCTGTTTTGAAAGAGTACTTAGCACCTATTCTATTATCTCTTTAAAAAGCTCAAATAAAGCAATTATTATTATATCAAAAAATGATGATTATAATTAATCAAGTTGAAGAATCTAATAATAAACCTAGTGGCATAATTGAACATATATATAATAGACTGCAAATTAGGCTTTATGATCTTTTATATAGTATAGATGAAGATAAAATTCAAGAAATATAGAAAGTTTATTATATTGCAGCAACAGCTTCAACTGCAAAACTACATTATGTAGTGATTTTTGGAAATTCAACATCACTTTGTACATGCATGTATATTATTAATCAAGGGATGCCATGTTGATATTAGTATCAAATTCTTCTTCAATTCAGTAAAGCTGTTGTTTATATGGGCTTTATTCATTCACATTGGCTTAAGACAGAGCCAACTAAACTAGTTATATTATCATTTTTCAAGGTGCTAAAGTCTATATCACTAAGCTATTGCAATATATTGATTGAATGCAAATAACCAATTGTTATATATTGAATGTTAGAAAAATTGTCAATAAAAAGATCAAATTTGAAACAACAATATCAGTAGCTAAGACTAACATTCAAGTTGCTATAAAAGAAGGTGTTATGTCAGAACTTACTGGTCTTCTTACAGAATTTATTATAAAATACTGTTGAAGCACTGAATTGAATATAGAAGAAATTCATAATTTTAATAAAGAAATTTATACTTCTCTAAGTATATCAAATCCTGAATATTATAAGCCAAGAGGTCATCCTTCAAAGCATCTCAAGTCCTTAGCAGAAAAAAGTAATGTTCAGCAAATATCTTCATCTTCCAAGACTTGTAGTTATTGCTTAGAAAAAGGTCACAATATTAGAGAGTGCAAGTAACAAAAATTTAACCTAGCTAATAAAGAAAACAATTAGATATTGATAGTTTATAATTTAGAGTTTTATTAAATAAAAGCTTAGGTCTTAAAAAGTGTTGTTACAAAATAAATTTTATATTGATAGCATTTTACATATTAGTACATGCATTTTATTAATATATATATATGTATCTGATATATATTGTACATATGTATATATGAATCTTATTTTTTTTTTAAGATCATTTGGGTTAACATATAAAAGTCTAACTAAAAAGGCTGACTTCAGTCTTTTTTTCTTGTACAAGTTGTGATTTATAAAGTACAATTTCTTATAGTGAGATTATTTTCTAATAGTGTTTGACTAAAGGTTTTTGAAATAGTATACTAATTGAAGGCATTATACTATATATAATAGAATGTTCTTTACTAATGTGTACTCTATTTGGTCTTGTTTATACTACTTTGTTAGTACTATGCAAGGTACCTGATGTAACTCAATTAAACAATAAGTTTTATATTTAAATTCTATCATGTGATATATCAAATAAAGCTTACGGATAGTACTTTATTACATTATTATGTGATTGCAAAATAAATCTGTATCTGATATAAATTACATAATACTGGTAATAATCACTACCAGTAATATGTAGCAAATTTTAATAAAATAAAGTATTATAATATATGTTTAATTACAAAAATCAAAAATAAAAATTGGGGTATGGCAACCTAGTGAAGTGGTCATGTTGTCAACTCTTCAAGTGGTAGGTTGGGTGTTCAAATCCCATTGATGGTGAAAATTTGAATAATTACCTATGTAATATTTATATTATGGTAACTGTTACTAATGATTGGATTAGGATATCTATAATGGCAGTCACACTAGCATGACTGGCAAGTCATAGAGCATCTGTGCAATATTGGAGTTATATGAAAGAATGCAAACTAACAAATCAGGCAGTGCAAATACTAGATAAGTTCTTGTGGCCATGTAAATCCATTAAAATTGGATAACAAGAAGTCTATTTGGAAAGACCCAAGTAGAGAGATAGCTGGATCTTTGATGGCCCTACTGTAAAGGCTAGCATAGTGAAATAGATATTCAGGTCTAGTACTTGGTCCTAGTAGCCAGACAGGCAAGAACCTCCAGTTTGGGAGTCTTGAAAGTACTACCAACCAGGCCACCAGAATGAACCAAAGAAAAAGGATATCAGGCCAACATGATATACCAATAGACTGGTTATAGTCCTACATGAGCTATCTGGATTGGGAGTTTGGTAAAAGGGCAAAGGAAAAGGCAGGAGTATACTAAAGTACTGGGGTTATGTTGTAAAGTAGATGCTGGGGTCTAAGTGAACTCTACAAAGGCATAGTGATTTAATGGTTAGCCTTGACTACAAGTGTTGGTTCTGCTATAGCGATATCTAGATCAGCTGTAAAAATAGGTACAGAAGGCTCTAGGGGTTTACCTCAAGAATAAATTAGTTCTAAGGTTGAGAATGATGATCTGGGCATCTAAGATGATCAGTGATATTAATACAGATTACAGGTTCAGAGTGTTTAAAATGGAACATCCAAGCAGAGATGTTAGGTACAGCAATTGGTGGGGAACCTTCAGGCAGACTCCTTAAATAAGTAATATAGAAAAGTTACATGTGTAGCCAATTGTACACTCTCCTGTAGTAGTTCATTGAACCACAATACCGATAAGTGATTAATAAAAGTCAAAAGACCAAAGAGGTCACCTTAATACCAAAAAAAAATAAAATAAAAATAAAATAAATAATTTTATTATTATTTAAATTTTTTTTCTTAAGTAGTTATACTAATACTTTATTAAAATTTTAAAATTACATTTGCAATTATATAAATATCTTTAACAATTTAGTCTAGCATCATCTAACTACCTTAATAATATCTAAATATAATTTGTTATATTACTTTGTGCAGAAATAAGCTGCTTGTATAAGTATTTAAAATTTATATTTCTTTTTTAATTTGTTTTTCTTTTTTTCTTATTTTTTTTTTCTTTTACTTTTTGCTAATTTGTCTTTTTTTCTTTACTTGGTTTTTATTATTTTTTTTCTTTTATCTTTTTATCCTACTTATTATTCCTACTTTTCTCTTTTATTTACTAAACTTTTTATATCAGATTCTCTATACTTGTTCATAAAATGTATTCTAAGTCATTTTTGCTATTATACTTATAAATTGCTATTTTGATTTTATGCTTAGAAGCTGCTATAATTTGGTTTATATTTCTTTTAGAATTAGAACTTTAATTAGTATCTCTCTTATTTTTACTTTTTTTGTTTTTGTTTTTTCTAAATAATACTTTATATAATATATATAAAAAATCTGAACTTTTTTTTCTTCTTTTAGCCACTTTTAGGCTATTGCAATAGTCACTTTTTGAATTTTTTTCATAAGTTTTTTTGTTTTTTACATAGTGCCAAATTTGTCTGTATTTTTTTTATTTTGTTTTGGCATACTTGGCATTCTATTGTTGTATATACATCTGATCTTTTTCTATTAAGTTCTTTTAAGATTAAAAGTTTATCTATTATATATTTTATAAATATACTTCTTCTGGCACTATTTCTTTCTGTTATATAATATATTGCTTTAGTCATCTTTAGTCTTTTTCAAAAGTATATCTAATCATAAATTGTAATTTCTGTTTCTGATTCTAAGTTTTTAATTACTCTTATTTTTTTCTATTCTGCTTTTAATCTTATATTTATTATTAACTTATATAACAATTTTACTAATATGTTAGTTTGTTTATTTTTTTACTCTAGGCAATACTTTATCTTTTTACAATTAACTTTTTTGGTTTATACTATTTTTTTGCTTATTGCTTGTTTCTTTATCAAGTTATTAGTTTTGTCCTTCTACTCATCTTTTTACTTTAACTAACTTTATTTATATATTTTTTGTTATAATAAAGTCTTTAATCTTTATTATCTATATTGTATTTTTAAAATTTTTATTTTTGTTTGCTTGTTTCAAGTCTCTTCTTATGTTTCTTATTGTAGCATTACTATCTGTATATATTTCTATTTACTTTTTTTATATCATTGTTAAGATTGCTATCTATATTGCTACTAGCTTAACTATTATTAATGTTTGTTATTTTTCTAGACCTAGCACTACTTCTTCTTTTGGTTATTCTTGTATTTCATTCATTTGGATCCATTCTATGCTTATTTTATTTTTAGTTACTATATCTTTTTTGGTTTTCATGCTTGTTGTACTATTTGTATATATTATATACTTATTCTTATTTTTTATTATATTTCTTTTTAAGACTTTTATTATTTCTTAGTTAATGTTTTTTTTAGCTTTTAATATCTAATAATTTTTATTTCTAACTTTTTTATTATTTTAATCTTTTCAAGTTTTTGTTCTTTAAATTTTAGTTTGTTTATCTTTATTGTTTCTATTATTTGATTTATTGCTATATTAATTTTGTTGCTACCTATTTTTATTAACATATTTGGAATCATGTTAATTTTGCTATTTACTCTAATTCATTATTGGCAGCTATCTTCTGTCTGTTTTTTTTCTCTTGTACAATTGTTACATCTATCTATTTCAATAACTAATTCATCTTTTCTACTTTGCATTTGCTGATGTTCTACTAATATTTTTTTCTTTTTCTTTTTAACTATTTTCTCCAATTGCTTATAATTTTGTGCATTATATACTATTTATTTTTTTTTATTTATTTTCTGAAATATTTTCTCATTTAATTTGCATTGTCTGAATATTTTGTCTGTTTGTCCTAAAATGTTTTTTAATTTTTCTGCTTTCTGGTTTATTAAGTATCTTTAGTTTTATTATTTTAAATATTTCTGTTTTTTTTGCTCAATAGATCATAGTAATTTTTTAGTTAGTTGGTATATAATTAATCTGTTTATTTTTTTATTTTTATTTTTTTTAGTTTCAAAAGTAATCTTGCCTGTGTGTTTTTTATTATTAGTAATATAAGATTACATATTATATACTGAGTATATCAACAAAAGTACAACTAGTCATATATATAACTTTAGTTATTATCTAATTAAGAATTCTGCCTATAGGTTATCTACTAGATGCTATATCCAAGACCTGCCTGTGAGTCACCTATTTGAACTTTTTAATTTTCAATACTTACTGCATATATACACAATGTATATTACTATTATTGTAACAAAACAGGTTAGGGCTATCTAATTACTATTTATATCTAAGTACCATCTTATTAAATATTACTAAGTATCTATAGTTCTTCAAATTTACTCTTAATGCAAACTTACTAAGTATGATACCAAGATTACTCCTTAGATTTATCCAATTTTAGTAGATCCTATATCTACTAGAACCAGTTTGGTGCCAGAAATGTTTGAATTTTGGTAAGTTTATTCCTTTTCTATAGTTTTCTTTTATATTCACTGTATCACATACTAGTATGCCTTCTCTTTATTTCTGGTATGTTCACTGCTTCTCTTGCATTAAGTACCAATCTTCATATTGGAAAACTTTTTTTTTGTGAACTTTTTTATACACAAATCTTCTAATCACTTAGAATTAGCCACAGAGCTTTGCATACATTCATATGCTTCTGTAGATTACAGAGTTTCGCCTTTAGCTAAATTGAATCATTGAACTTGTCTGTAGTGAGAGAGTGCCTAGACCATTAGGCTACAGAACCCTATACTTAATCTTTTTTTTTTGTATTAAGCAGCTAGTTTAAGTATACTAAATCTGCTTCATTTATTCCAATTCTACTTTTTTTTCATAAACAAGTATCTATAAGCTTATTTATTTTGGTGCTATACTCAAGTATTGTTTATAAATTACTTTCTGCTTTTATATTTATTTTTAATTTTCTTGCTTTAATATTGTTAGACATGCTAAGTTATTTCTTTAACTGTTTATGTTTTTTAGTATCTTTTTTACTTTTTATATATCTTTTGTTAGATCAGCTCTTTGGCTGCTTTGTGTTATTTTTAGTTAGTTAACTGTTCAAAACTG